TATATATATATATATATATATTTTAATCTAAGTTGCTGTTATTTTTTAGGCTGATGACTAATAAGGAGCTAAAGAATTGATGGTAGCATGACCCTTCATGTAAAAGTGCAAGTGAGTACTAGAAGAAACAGTGAAGATCTTTCCTATTAATTAAAGCTATCAACCCCAAAACAGGATAGGATCATAGAATTAAACATGGTATGTATATATGTCCTGATTGGATTTAGTAGTCATTGAGTCACCTATTCAATTTATGCACTCTGTTGAACGATTATATATTTAATTTCTCTTTTTTAGGTGAAATACATATAGACTGAAATTTCTGGTACTTACTATAACATGGCTGTGTCAATTGTCATAAAGTACAATTGAAGTTTGATCCGAGTATGTTTGAATATAGATTTAGAAGAGTTTTGAAGATTTTTCTTACTTTTTATAATAGAGAAACTCTTAAAAAGATTTATAAATTGTAATCAAACAGACTGAAAGTGTTATAGTAAGAGATTATTTTAATCTGAATTCATGTTTTGTAGGCTATTGAAGTAGGAAATGGTAAATGGCATGGATCAGTCGGTGGCATAGTTTGTGCACCTATTGACAAGGTTTGGAGCTTGGTCTCTAAAACTAAAAGACTACACGAATGGATGGCAATGGTAGAAAGATGCAGTGGCTTGGCTGGAGATGAAGATGAACCTGGCTATGTTAGGCTAGTATCTGGTTTCATGTTTCCTCAACAAGATGGAGAAAGGTCTTGGATCAAGGAGAGGTTGGTTTCGCTGGACTCATCATCACATAGCTATGTTTATACAATGGAAGCAAGCAATGTAGGTTTAGATGGATCTGTAAATTCATTAAAACTTGTTGACTATGGAGATCAATCAACTCTTATTCACTGGTCATTCGAGATAAGCCCTTTACAAGATGTATCTCAGGACAACATAGTTGATTATCTCGGATTTCTCTACAAATCTTGCATCAATAAGATAGAGGGTGCAATAGAAGCTGCATCAAGAAATGTTTCACCAACATAGTGAACAATTGAAAATCATTTTATTCAAACCATAGGCTTCTTTTTAATTCATGTATGTAAGTGGAGTCGTTCTTCATCCTTTTCTTTCTCTTTAAGATATATTTTGGAGTCATAATGTGAATAATGAGTAATAATTGCCTGGCGATGGTAACTATATAATACTATATCAATTATCGTTGACCATTCCTAATTTTATTCCACTTTTATGTTTCTTCCGTAAATTATTATCTCGGATCCTTTAATTTTTACAGACTTTTTAACTTTTAAGAAGATTTGTCTTGGTTCTAAATTGTCTACCATTCATTTTTTTATTTATACGAAAATGCCTTTAATTGGAGATGTATTAATTCAGTATAAAGAGATTAAGAGAATATAATAATTTTAATAATTAGATTTTTTTTATCTATAAAAATATAATAATAATAATAAGATTTGAACTTAAGACTCTACCCATATTATATTGATTATCACTAATAAGTCAATTATAATATTCTTACAATCTTAGTGGTTTTAAAGATATTTTTAAAAAGAATAATATAAATCAGTGACAAATTAATACTTTTAATTAATTAAATTTCTAGAAACAAAAAATATTTAATGTAATTTTTTTTTAAACTCAATAGTTAAATTTCTCAATTCTTGTGAATTCTTGTGACCTGAGTCATACCATTAGACTAAGCAAATTGCTTCGTTCATTACTAAGTAGTCGTATTTCGTTGAATCATTTAAAAGTAATAATATGTACTTATTAATTAAGAAAAATGCTTCGGCCTCTGAAATGAATAGCCGAATTATCCTCTGAATTGTGAAAAAAAATTGATAGTTGTTAATTTTTTAATTTAAATATTAATTTAATTTAAAATTTGTGAAAGGTATTTTTTTCAGAAGACAATTCGGCTGATTGTTTTGGAAGCTGAAGCATTGCTCATTAATTGATGAGTACGAATTTTTTCCGATTCATCTTCCAAATAATTAAAATAATAATATTTTTTAATAAATTTATTATAAAATAATTATTTTATAATAAATTTATTAAAAAATATTATTATTTTAATTGTTTGGACAAAAATTCGGACTAACAATTCGGAGGCTGAATCTTTAGTCTTAATTAATTGAAGTCACTTTAAAAATGGCATTTTTCTGAATATTAAAGAATTTTTAAATTTAGGATCTTTAATAATTCTGAATAAGTTAAAACAATTTCGCGTAAATTAAACCACGTGCTAGATGGTGAAATAGTTTTTGGTTCAGTGTCTTAAAGTTAAATCTCTTCCTCTCCTCTCTTCTTACGTATAGAGTGAGTTTAGTTTAGTGCTATTATATTATATCTCACGTATAAAAAACTAGTATTAGTATATGACAAAGGAACCACTTGGTAATAGGCATTCAATCAAATCAAACGATAAAATGAAAAATATTATATTGGATCGATTGGTAAATGAGAGAGTTGAGGAGGGGATTTCTTTTTCTTTTTTCTTAACAAAGGAAGTACAGTTTTGGAAGGCAACATTAAAGTGCCAGTACCGTTACCTTTCTTACAGGGGTTCAATTACTTTGCTGTTGGACGGTTAGGGTAATTTTGTTGTTGAAGGTCATATATTGCAGTTAATAACATGTTTCTAGTGCTTATTTTTTTATATGTAAGTTACAGAATAGGGCTTCGTGTCATTTTCTTTGGGGTTCAACTTAGGGTGTGCTCGACTATTTACGTGTAAAGCAATTCACTCAACTTTCCTTTGAAAGATCTTCCTTAACCTGACGCATGAAAAACATGGTACCCCTTCATATTCTTTTATTTCTCAAGTTTCATGGCCTGAAGACAGAATTATAAAAGAAACCAAAATTCAATTGATATTACCAGCAATAACTAAATAACCTTGCAATTAATGTGCCACAAAAATTTTTCTTTTATGGGATATTATTGTTTAGTCCAACATCATATGGTTCTGGATAATCTTCATATAACACATTATGAACTCTTTTTCATAAATTAAAAAAATATAATTGCATGTCTCATGGAGATTGGCTGGTCCCTCCTTCTGCTTTGCTTGGTGAATAAAAGCAATTGAGCTATTGGGTAGGATGATATTGCGTTGGTTGGTTCCTTTTCTTTTGTATCTGCATTTAATCTTCTAGCATACATATATATCCTATGCAAGTGGCTATGAGATGTGTTTGTTTCAACAGTGACAAAGGAGGTGGCATCACTTTCAACCAAACTTCTTAGTTCACATTTCAAATCTACACAAGAAAACAGTTAAAAGTCCTTAACCGTGTATTGATTACCAAATTTGTAAGGTACGGGAATAAACCATTGTAGCAGTGGTAATAAATCCAAATCTTCAATCCCAGCTAATACTTGTAAAGAGATGTGAAAGATTGAGCTTTATTTAACAACGCCAAAATGTGATCAGTTTTGAACAACTTGGCCAGGGGAAGTGATTTTAGTGAAGTACAAACACAGCATCATTTGACAAAGAATCATAAAAAACAGGTTGAAAAAGATGCCCCATTTGAATCGTTTAGTTGGTTTTGATGGCAACAAGACTGTGTGTGTATCTGTCTGTACTCTTCTTATTCTTAAGCTTTGAATCATCCAATCAAGGACATGAAGTGGATGGGCTGAAAATCATAGCCACCATAAAAATTTTCATCTCAATGACATCTTAAAGTCTCTCTCTTAATGAGAATGCATCATTACCCTATGGTACAACCCAACATTGCATGGTGTATCTTCTGGAAGGGAGTAGACCTTCAAAAAAATACATACATGGGAAAAAGATGGGTAAGAAAATTTAGAAACATACTCTTGGTGAGGAGAAAAAAAGTATTTGCAGCTGAGAGGTATTTTTCAACTTATAGAAGGGTTTCTGTCGGCTGAAAATAGCACATTTGGCTTACATCGAAGTGGACAACTAAGGATTACATTGTGTAGCATGCAAGAAAACTTGGTAACGATTAAAATACATGACTAGCATTATTTAATAGTCACCTACACCTACCACTTGTAAAACGACATAGCATCATAGATTGTTCCATTATAAGGTGCTTGCGTGGTCATGTGTTAGTATTCAAAAGAGAGGAGATTAATAAGGGCAAGGTAAGAATTGAAGAGACGCACAAAAATACTAATTGCTCAAGTGAATGGAGCCACGCCTTCTGGCAATATTTCTGGTGGCTCTTTCATTCTCACCATTTGTTCATTCCTTGGTGCGTCATTACAAGTTTAGTGTAAGTACCTAAGACAAGTGAATAATATCACCGAAAGTCCTATGCCATTCTTATGATAAAATAATAATATCATAGATCATTATTTGCTAGGCATTTGACCAATTCATGTTGGTCAATGTGTGCAGGTGGTCTTGAAGAATACCACAAAGCTTTGCTCTACAAAATCATTTGTGACAATCAATGGACAATTCCCCGGGCCAACTCTCTATGCCAGGGAGGATGATACTGTAATTGTGAGGGTCACTAACCATGTTAAATACAATATTACAATCCACTGGTGAGAATTTGAATTTCCACTAATAAACAAATTGCAAGGAAGCGAAAATGTTGGCAATAAAAAATTTGACTAGATCATGAATTTTGGACCATGACAGGCATGGAATCAGACAGCTTAGAAGTGGTTGGTCTGATGGGCCAGCATATGTCACACAATGCCCTATTCAGCCAGGGCAGAACTTTGTCTACAACTTCACCATCACAGGTCAAAGAGGCACACTTCTGTGGCATGCACATATCACTTGGCTAAGAGCCACGGTGTATGGTGCCATTGTCATTTTGCCTAAACGAGGCATTTCTTATCCATTTCCTAAACCGGACAAAGAAAAGATAATCATTCTAGGTAAGTTTTTTTTATGTTATTGATTCAACTATGTTGCTTAGCACTTGTAAATTATTATATTATATTTCTTTGTATTAACTTTGATTTGTATGAGTTCCAGGTGAGTGGTGGAAATCAGATGTGGAAGCAGTGCTCAATCAGGCTGAAAATTCTGGTCTGCCACCAAACATATCAGATGCTCATACCATCAATGGTCATACAGGGCCAGTTCGGGGTTGCAATTCTCAGGGTATTAATATAATATAATGGGTTTTATTATAAACTAACTATTTGTTACTTTTTATGGAAAGTCTTATATATGAATGGCGTTTTAATCAATCAGGAGTGAAATGGACATATGAGTGGCGAACGAAATGATTTTAAGAGGGGAAAACATGCCCATATAGATTTTTTGTGTCTCACTAATATTGTTTCATAACTTTCAGCAATTTCTTCTGGTAAGGGCTACACTTAGATGGAACCGGATTCCTTGCGGTTAAACAGTAACTGAAAGTCCTGCAGTCATGATTCAATGGCTCACAAATTTTTAAATAGTGTTTTCTTTAATTATTCTATATATAATAATTCATTTTTGTGATTAGGATTTCATGCAGTTTCTTTCTGAGTTATTACTAGTTAAAAAAAAAACACTCGGCACTTCGTGTGAGTTTAAAAGTAATAGTTTTTAATTAAAAATGCAAGATGGTCAAGAGATGTAAAATAAATGTCAGATAGTAACTTTTAAAAATAGTTGAAGGATAAAATTATCTAAAAACAAAAAATGTGTATATCAGATAAGAATATTCCTTTTCTTATTAGTATAGAAATATAGATTACTGCAAAGAATTCATTTCCGTTTTTAAGTGCTTTGGGTGCAAGTTTTGGCGAATAAACTACCTGATAAAAAGTTTGCTCGAAATGTCAATATACGGTATGCTTGATTCCCTTGTCACTTTTTGGTTTAAAAACTATTTTCTAAAATAATTCCACACTACTTGACATTTAATTTGGATCTTATCATTAAGTTTTAAAAATTGTTTCCAAAACATATTTTAAAAACCAAAAACAATTGAGAGATATTTCTCATCATCTTTTTCTGTTTTAATCTTGTTCAGCATCTCCTTCGTTTTTTCTGTATTACATGTCTTGCATCACCCTCCATCTTTTCAAACAACCTTAGTTAATTACATTTTCAAAAACTAAAATAGTTTTTAAAAATAGAAAGTGAGGTTTATGTTTCTATATGCTTAGACATGTCCTCAAATATAGAGCTTTATCAAGCTGTGCAGGTTACACTCTGCATGTTGAAAGTGGCAAGACCTATCTGCTGCGCATCATAAACGCTGCTTTGAACGATGAGCTATTCTTCAAAATCGCGGGGCACAGGCTGACAGTAGTTGAAGCAGATGCATCTTATGTTAAGCCTTTTGAGATAGACACAATATTCATGAGTCCAGGCCAAACCACAAATGTCCTATTAACCGCTAACCAAGGTGTTGGCAAGTACTTAATCGCAGTTACTCCCTTCATGGACGCCCCTATAGGCTTTGACAACGTCACTTCAATTGCCACACTTCGCTACAAAACTACACCACCTTATCCCAAAATAACACTAACCACAATTCCTGCACTTAATGCAACTCCTTTAACAACTGATTTCATTGACTTCCTAAGAAGCCTCAACTCAAAAGAGTACCCGGCAAGAGTTCCATTGGCCGTTGACCACTCTCTTTTCTTTGCCATAACCGTTGGCCTTAACCCATGTGACATGTGTCTCACTGGGACCAAGCTTGTGTCTGCTATTAATAACATCACCTTTCTGTTGCCAACCATATCATCACTTCTTGAAGCGCATTATTATAACATAAAGGGTGTTTTCACAGATGATTTTCCTGCATTCCCACCTATAGTTTTTAATTACACTGGCACTCAACCGGCTAATATCCGGACCAATAATGGCACAAGAGTGTACAGATTGAATTTCAATTCAACTGTTCAGATTATTCTCCAGGGCACTGCAATGATAGCCCCAGAAAATCACCCCTTTCATTTGCATGGCTACAATTTCTTTGTTGTTGGGCAGGGGTTAGGGAACTTTGATCCAGAGAAGGACCCATTAAGCTTCAATCTTGTTGACCCAGTTGAGAGAAACACCATTGGGGTACCAAATGGTGGATGGGCAGCAATCAGATTCAGGGCAAATAACCCAGGTAGTTACTAGTCACTTTGTATGTGTACGTGTGTGTTTCTGAAAAATTTTCTTATTTAGTTTTGGACAAAGGTTAGATACATTTACATAAAAATGTTGTTTGTATTAAATCAATACGCAAATTAGTGAGGTGAAACTCTAATTCTAAAAGAAGAATACATGCAAATATGCAATCCTTAAAGAAACTGTATATAAGTTTATCTTATCATTTTTATGCACCTTTTCCTCTTGTACGCTAGATTTAAAAGCTATGCTACAGATATGAATGTTAATATATAATCAACGTTTAGTTATTTTTATTGCGTAATCTAATGTTTATAATGTGTGAACTGTGAAGGTGTTTGGTTCCTGCATTGCCACTTAGAAGTACACACCACATGGGGACTTAAGATGGCGTTCATAGTAGATAACGGGAACGGTCCCCATGAGTCCTCGTTTCCACCTCCCAAAGACCTTCCAAAGTGCTGAAGTTTCTGATGAAAAAGGAGTGAAATTTGGAATCTGCTGTGAGAGACAATGATACTATGAGAGTGTACATTATTATACAGGAGAGGTGATGTCATGGCCTAAGGAGAAGACATCAAATTGTTTGTGGCAGTTTGTGATGTTGGATTAGCAGAAATCAATAAAAACTTGCTGTAGCTAGCAATCCCAAGCCTTTTTTAATTGTCAAGTTTAGGATAAAACATGTAAGTTTTGGGTTCATAAAAACGTGATGTATGTGCTTGTTAAATTTGAAAAAATGGTATTATAGAATTCATACGATTTTCTTATTCTCTATGGTTAATTTGGTAGCTGTTGCTTGGAACCAAGGTGCAGAATAATAAAAAAAATTCATTCGCGCCAGGTAGGGGTCGAACCTACGACCTTCTGCTTAGGAAACAGACGCTCTATCCACTGAGCTACAAGCGCCTATGATATTCTATTGTAACTAAAAACAACTATTAGCACATAAAATAGGTATGAAAAGGGCCTGCCATAAATATCAAATTTCACTTGAATAATTTCTATATTTTAGAAGAGATTGAAATATATCATTAATAATAATAATAATTAATCTTATTAATACTTGCATAGATTTCACTTATACACGTATAAATACTACAATCCATCAAGTAAATAAATATCATAGTTATATATGATAAATTATTATGAAATGAAGGACCTTCATTGTTTGAAGCGGAAAAAAATTCATATCCACTAATATTAGTAATATTGATTTTATATTTGTGTTTTATAATTAAGGATTGATATTTAATTTTTATCTTTACTATAGAATTAGAATTGTAACTAAAAATATTTTTATTTTTTATATTGATTAGAATTATAATCATATACACTTTAGTGTGAACCAATAACTAAACAAGAAATGAAAATTTTTCTGAGTTAGTTGTCTAATATGAGAATCCACTAATGTTAACACAACGATTGATTAGAATTTACACAAATACAAGTATCCGTCGTTTTCTCCATAAATGTTTCAAAATAGGGGAAAAAATGGTAATAATTTTAAAAAATAAGAAATAAAAAATATTTTTCCAAATGAAACATATTCGAAGATCTTTTTTTTGGGGAGGGGGGTGGTGGTGTTATATTTCTCTGTTTAAAAAAAAAACAAAAATAAAACAGCACAGCCAATTAGATTAAGGTTAATTTGATACCTGCACGACATTGAAATTGGAGCCATATCAGGAGGGGAGTTATACTTTACCCTGAAAAAGTTTGTGTATTTTACTATTTTTACCCTTAAATAATATTCATTTAAACCTCTTTTAATACGATGACTAAGGACGAGAGTTTGTCGTTATTGGGATTATAGCAAGTAGCAAGTGTGACACTCGAGTCTCAACCTTTTATTACCTTAACAAAACCACCTCTCACATCTGAACTCACTACACAACCACAAACAAATCCAAATCTAATTCCTTATCTCGTTCGATACCCTGATTCCTACTCTCTCACTAGCACAGTTTCCACTCTATTGTATATGTATCTGTGTAATATAAGTTTGCTTGGTCACCAAGAAACGACAAAGGGAAATAGTATCTAACTTTTCCTTTGCTGATTGTAAATAATCTCTCTCTTTTCTCTATTGGATCGATCATAGCTTTCTGCACCTTCTTCCTCTTAGGTTCTCATATTTTTCTCTCTTGTTGTGGCCCTCAACTTTGTAGGCTCACCTTAAAATACCTTCTTTTCTTTTTGGTGGGGGTGAGAGTCGTTATCTTATTCCTGGTTTCATCTACAAGAAACTACTAACATCTGTCTTGTTTTAGTTTCAGAATTCGTTATACTCTCACACACACCAAAACTCTGGAACACCATGATTTTTCCAAGATTTTGTACGAATCTAAAAGGTATGGCTTTTATAGATTCTCAACTTTATCTTGGTCACACACGTAAAAGATTCTGAAATCTGCGCACCTTGTGAATCAAACCTCTATAATTTCTTCTTTTTTGTGTTTCTCTTGTGTGTTTATGAGCACCCTTTTCTAGTTCTTCTCCATTTCCATCTCTTTAGGGACTTAATTCAACTAGAGTTTTTGTATGCTTGTGTCTTGAGGTATGGAAATGGAAACCCTCTACTCCCCTTGTATTATGCCAAATTCAAATTGGTTTGTGCAAGAGGGCTACAGCACAGAGTGGACTAGAGAAGATAACAAAAAGTTTGAAAGTGCCCTTGCTATATTTGACAAGGACACACCAGATAGGTGGTTCAAGGTGGCAGCCATGATCCCTGGGAAGACTGTGTTTGATGTGATCAAGCAGTATAGGGAATTGGAAGAAGATGTGAGTGAAATTGAAGCAGGGCGTGTTCCACTTCCTGGCTATCTTGCCTCCTCTTTCACCTTTGAGCTGGTTGACAACCACAACTATGATGGATGCAGAAGAAGGCCTGCTCCTGTCAGAGGTTCTGATCACGAGAGAAAGAAAGGGGTACCCTGGACTGAAGAGGAACACAGGTAAGTTTCACCAATTTAGAATATCCAACTGTTTCTGTGATTTGACCTTTGATCGTCCCTTCTATAGTTGCTGCAAGATTTTGGTATTGGAATTCTGCTAATCAAAAATCAATCATGATTAATTATATTTCCCTACCCTACCAACTCAACCTGAGACTATAAATTAGTCTAGCATTAAACATTTTTATTATTGTTCATTTCATTTACCTTGAATTTCAATATTTTCACCGCTGATCCAATTGACTTTTTTACACAAACTGCTTTTTCAATCTAGTAAAGTAGCTATCCTATAAATTGATAAGTGAGTTTTTAATTATTATTTTTTTGATAATTTAAATTTTGAACTGTAGGCATGACCAAAACATCTGACATGTTAAACATAATATTGAGTTGGTCTTGTTATTGCTTTTGATCTTATCTGTTGTGCTGCTATTTGAGGCATTTCAATATCTATCATTTTTGGTTCCTGTACTTGACTTTTGGTATTGAATTACAGACGGTTTCTGATGGGACTTCTAAAGTATGGTAAAGGAGACTGGAGAAACATCTCTCGCAATTTTGTGGTCACAAAGACTCCTACACAAGTTGCTAGTCATGCACAGAAGTACTACATAAGGCAAAAGGTTTCTGGAGGGAAAGATAAAAGGAGGCCTAGCATCCATGATATAACCACTGTTAATCTCACAGAAACCGCTGAATCAGATAAGAACAAGGCTCAGTTATTTAATGTGTCTCCCATGATTGCACCACAGCAGAGGCTGAATAGCATGTCAAAAGTACAGTTGGACTGGTCTAGCCACTACAGTGATGGATCACTAATGGTTTTCAACCCCAATAGTGATGATGACTTGTTTCTGTCATCTTCATCTGATATCACTTCCAAAACCCTGAAAATGCAAGGACAGGATCTATATGACTGTGCTTTACATGAGGCTTATGCCAAGGTAAAAGTTCCAAGTTTCAGCATGGCTCCTAGAGACTTCAACAACGAAGCTGTTTTTGGTATTCATGCACTGTAATCCCAATCCTGATGATGTTAAACCAAAAAAATATATATATATCCACTTCATAGGTCATTGTTCTATAGGATTAATGTAGATGAGCTGAAGCTAGCTACCTCATGGTTAGTGAAAATCCTAAAAGAAGACTAAATAATGTTGCATCCTTAAAACTGAATTTGGAATAGACTTCCTTTGAAGTTTTCCTCTTTATCTTTTGTCACAGTGATCATGTCTATTTCTTTGGAGACCCAATCGGAATCATATGATGTACCATTCAGACATACTATGTCTCAAAAGTAACATGAGAATACATCACTAATAATTGAATTCTATTATCACACGTACATTAATATAGGTTCAAACATCAGAATTCAGAGGCCTTCATCCTTATCCAACAAGCTACAAAACCGCATAAATTTGATGGCCAAAAAAAATAAGAAATAGTAACCTCTAGTCAAAATGGGCTTATTAGATATTCCAAAACCAACACTCACGGTGCCACTGAAAAAGAAATAGTAATTACGTAACCACTGCACAAAGGCTTGAACAGCCACTTCATATATTTGCTGATGTGGCTGACTCACATGAGCACTGGCATTGAAATTTTGAGCAGCATCTAGTATAGTATAGTAAGCCTTTTCTTTTGTTCCCTTTGAGATAGTTATTAATCATTTGCTTTATAAGAGCAATGTGGACAAGTTGACCATGTTTGATTGGCATCACTTTACTAGTCGAATCCGAGTTTGCATTCCACTTAGCTAGAATCCCATGCTTGATTGGGTCAGAATATAGGCAGATTCACGTAAGCATGCGCCAATGTGGTTCACACTATCAAAGTCATCTTTTATTAATTTTGATTCTCAGCCAATCATGTTGTGCCTTTTCTTTGATATTTCTCTGCTCGCCAATCCCCTTTTTGGTGGTGGCAACACTATTGCATTAGCGTTGTTCCTTCTTTTACTGGTCTCTCCAACCATCATGCTTTATTTTGATTCTTGTTTTGCTCCAGAACCCGATAGCATATTCTAGCCCTATGCACTGTGCAAATAATAATGTTCATACTAAAACTATTACTTGGAATAAAGCAACCGACCTTCGATTACATATTGCAGAATGAGCCCTTCAAGATCCGAAGCACCATATTCATTAGTCTTTATGAGAATAAGCATATATATATTTCTGCTCCTGAGTTTAGATTAGAATTGCTTCTTTTGATTTTGTTCAGAAATTAGTGGTACTAGGAGTTTTTAATTCCAAATATTCTTAACTTTTTTTATATATATTAAATTAAAGTTTTACCAAATAGATTCTATGTCATTTCTTACGAGTGCCTATCACTACCTTATAAAAGTAAAAACATTGCGTATATATGTATGTGTAACACGTGTATCTAGATATAAAGTCATTTTCATATATATGATATTTAAAAGAATAAATTTGGATAAAAACCATTCTACTTTTTATTATTATTGTATATATAAACTGCTTTTAATTTAATATATTCTAATAAAATATGAAAAAAAATTCGTTTATTTTAAGAATTAGTCTACCTAAACTTACCTCGTTTAATAATTCATGTTTTATATTAAATTTCAAGAATTCAACCGTTGAATTTAAAATTTTTAATGTATAAATTAAATATACAAAGCATCGGGCGCGTCTTGAGACAGAGAGTAACTAAACTCTATGGAAGGCCCTACGCCGGGTGCAAAGCATAATGTGCCGAGCATGGTAACCCTAACCTAACTCACCCAGCTTGTATTTGATCAAGACTTCAAGGATTTCTTCCTCATTCATACATTGGGCGACTTCTAGGAGCTAAGGAAGGGATTCCCGGTGCTTGAGACTGTTCGTGTGTGGGTCTTTCCTTTAGTTCTTCCATCTCTCTTCCATCTCTATTTTTGTTTCACCCTCATTGTTTTGAGCGGTTCTACCTATTATTTTGTGGGGTTAGATGTAACCAACGATACTCTTATGTAATCCTTACGTTTTTAATGATATATATACATGTTGTTTCATTCATTGTTGTGTATGTTTCTATTCTTAATGCTTGCTTTGGATTGATTCTCCTTTGCTTGATATAGAGTCCATTGGGTATTGGAAAATAGCCTTTTGAACTAGCTCTGATTAAAAATTATTTAATATTTTATTTCATTAATTCAATTAATGTATAAAATAATTGAAAATTTTTTAAAAATTTGTAAATTTGATCTATGCGTTAAGAATTTTAAACTCAACGGTTAAATCATTGATGTACAGGTAGGGGGGTTCGGCCACCACCCTATCGGCCGCCGAATGGCAGAACCAGGAAGCCGAACGCCAATCGGCCACCAGGATCGGCCTATCATCATTTGGTACTCTTAATCAAAGATTAGGGGTTAATTAGTCAATTAAGGTGTATTACCTAATACGGTAAATATGTTGCAGGGCCCATGGGGTCCAGGGCCCGGAAATGTCAGTATACATAGCTCAGGTCAAAAGGTAACGTCACTGTTCATTAATTGCCCTAGATATTCGTGTTTGTCCTGACTTGAGCGTTGGAGTGTCTTTTGCAGGTACCTACCCCTTCACCAGCGTATCGGATCGGAGCTCTCGTTCGGCCTTTGGACTACTAGAAGACTTAGTGTGCCCATCAGACAGGTACAATTGAAATTTGATATAAAACATGAGTTATTGAATAGAATAAGTTTAAGAGTTAATCATCCCTACACTGCCAGTGTAAAGTTTTTTACACTGGCAACCAATCATATCTTTTAAAGTTTCTTATTTTATTATTAAAGTAACTGACATGTTACTATTAAAAGATAAATAGACTTACTCATGAGATAAATAGATCTCTCCTCACAAAATATATATATATATATATATATATATATATATATATAAAGAACTTTAAAAAAAATGTCAAAGAATTTATTAATTTATTCAGCAATTAATACAAATATGCATTAAATATTGACTAATATTTTGATAAAAGATAAATGTTTGTTTTAGCGTAATTAATACTCTTAGAATTTGAATATTAATATACAATTATAATAGTCATACCTTATTCGAACAAATAATTTTGGGTGAAAGATATCTGAGGAAAAATAACACGAGTTGCGTTTTGCTCCAAAGGTATAATATCTAAAACATTCATTCTATCTATCCATGCATCCATATTCTATGGTATGCAAACTGATAGGAATCCTACTCATTTGAGTAGCGTCTAAGAGACGTTTGAATAGGTGATCCATTTTGTATTCTAACTCTAAATTTCTAGTATTTAACAAGAATGTTTCAAGATAAATTATATTTTGTTTTTTATACCTTTACCCTTCTCCTTTTAAGCACATGATTGCAATTTGCAAGTGATCAGCTGTGGCTGTTATTTGCCAAACATTGATTATGGAGCTCCTCGCCTCCCTCTCTAATAAGCTGTCAAAACACATCCTCAATTGAAATCCCTAAAGTACTATTGGCCCATTATGTTCAAACTCAGCAAGTTTAAATTAAATTAAAATTTTTGATCTCCTATTTCAAAATAAAGACATATAGATTCCTATCTCCACTCCAATAAATATATAAGCATACAATCAACTATATTGTCAGTGTGTAAGAATATTTTTAGGATTTTTTTTACGATAAGATTTTTAAAAATTATTTTAACTTTATAATTAATTTGATTTTTATTTATTATTATTATTTATGGATTAAAATTTAATATTTTTAAAAAAATTTATTAATAAAATTTAAATATAATTTATATATTCAAATATAATATTTATATATATATATATAATTTATTTTAAATTTTAGTTATATATAATAAAAATTTACTGTATATTATACAAGTTAAAGTACTAGTTAAATATATTGACTCGTGACTATCCTCACTTAATTGACATATCATTTAGACCTAGAAAAATTAAAATAAAAAATGCAAAACACATTCATTATTCATTTGTATTTATTTTAATGGGTAATCAGTACTTATGATATCTCATTTGCATTTTATTTTTAATTTTTACCTCTAAATAACATGTCTCTAAGTTTTATGTCACTTAAGTGATGACAGGTGTGAGTTAACTTTAAAATTTAATGGTTAACAAATGTCAAAGATGGTAATTTTTGAAATTTTATAATTAGGGAAACTAAATTTCTTTATTGCAAAATAGAATGACCAAAATTACATATCGATAAAAATTAGAAAGACAAAAAATTTGATTTAACTATTAAACTAAATTTACCTTTATAGCATCTTATCCTTCTACAAATCACTACAAGTAAATAGAAAATATCAAGAATTACATATAAAAAAGAGCCACATATCATAGATTTTTTTTAAGAGAAATTATTATTTTAATATCAGTGTTCGTTGGTCTAACCATTACTGTGGTTAGGTCTCAAATCTCAAAGTCTCAAATTTGAGTCTTGGATTTGATAAAAAAAGTGACACTGAAAAGGGCAATCTTAATACAGTCAAAGCTTTAAAAACAGACTAATTTATAACAAAGTTGATAAATACTCTTGCTAATAATATGGTACAAAAAAAATATTATTATAAAATTAAAAATATTTTTATATTATATATTTAAAATAAAATATAACCTAGATAAATTTAATCCAACATGAAGTATACTGTTGTGCAAGTGAAAAATTTTGTCAACCTCTTGAAAGAGATTATTTCCTTGTTTTAACTAGAATACTCTTTGTTAAATATTAATGAATATAAAAAAAAAGTGAAGAATTAATACTTTCAATTTAAAATAAGTTGCCTAAACTAGGTTTGGAAAATTATTTTTTTAACGAAAAGATAAAAACACACTTTCCAAAATACCAAAATACAAAGCAACTATTTCTATCTTTTCCGTTCAACGTACTTTTGTCAAATTTTAACAATAAAAGAGGACTTTATAGATCATTCATCGGAAAAAAAGGGCATCATGCACTTTGAGCTAGAGAAATTAAAAGGAACTTCTGAACTAAATGCAAAAAATATAAAATAGTAATTCATGCTACTCCTATGCTGTCGTTATAGCCAATAGGATATGGCGTCGATGAGTTCTTATGCCCGCTCAGAAGTATATAGAGACAAGAAAAAAAAAATAAACCTTGAAAAATCAAACAATTTATTTGTTATGATCAGTTACCTTTAACCCATATCGGCGGTGCACCAGTTGCATTTGCAACAAGGAAAGACATTGCAATATCTTCACAATTCCTGGTTAATCAATTGAATTATTGAGCAAATAATAAAAAATAAAAAAAAGGTGTAAACAAAGTTATGAGATTGATGCCTGATTAAAAAGAGAGGTAATGAATAATTATTTAGTCCAGGGAAAAACCTGTTCTTGGTTACATATTCTCTAATTGAAGATGGCATCTCTTTAGTGTAGATATTGAAATACTTTTTGTGAAAGAAAGCTGCCTTGGAAAGCACCATGCTATACGTACCCGTCCACCACACAGACCACCATCCACCATATATAAATTTGTTGCTATTACCTTCCTGCAAGCAATATAAAATAACTAGACATATTAAACTTATAATTTTTTCATATTTTACCTGTCACAGCACTAAACTGGAAAAATTACTGAAGGGGACCTAAAGGATTACAGAATTAGGTATCAAACATCACAATAATCATTCAATTTGACATCAAGTTTCAGCATCAAACAAGACTAGCAGCTTCTAGAAGGATGGATTGAAGATTAATAGATGAAATGCTTTCCTCTGACAGAAGTTCAGTTTTCTTTCGCTTTAAACTAGACCCTCATCAAGAACAATATCCCCACAGTTTATGATATGGATCAATTTTAGAAACATCATTGCAAAAAATATATACCAAATGTGCTATTCTTGTTGAAATGAATCTTCAACCATATGTTTCACAAAATTATGTTTTTTATGTTTGTTATACAAAATGACATCTTGAAACATAAATATTAACAGCAATCAAGGCAGTTATTGAGCCAAAATTACAGTGCAAACAAATAAAAATAAATCATATATGAAAATTAAAATAAAAATGGTTGATTTGCTCCATGCTCAATTAGTCATTCACTTGCTTTCACATTTGAACTGTAAAAGCAAAGGCATAGAAAAATAACGTGCAACCAAAATTAACAGGGATACTAGACAATTATTTGGTAAAAAAATAGATAAACCATACCAGTGAATCCATCCAGTGGACACGAGGTACAAATCCAACCATTGTATCAGGCGCACTTTGCCAAACATCAAATGCAAATTCCACCGAAGAGCAAGGGAATATGACATCGTCATCAATAGAAAAGACAGCATCAGTCTCTAAATCCTTAATTTCTTTAAATCTATTGTTCAAACTGTCTTCCTTGTTGATATCAAACTTCAATTTCACAAGCCGTCCATCCTTAGACTTGGACTTTACAACGTGGTGCAGATATTTTAAAAGAACATCTGAAGGAGGATCCGGTTCACTCCACACAATATGTACCGATTCAAGTCGAGGACATGATGAATAGTGCTTGATGGACTGCTTTAGGAGATCATATCTCTTCCATGTGTTCATTACTATAGAGTACCCTTTCCTGTGGACAAAACATAAAAGGACAATGAATCCTGTGACATCACAAGAGGCATAAGCTCATTACCTCTAAAAACAAAATAAAATTTAGAACCAAAAAGCCAATCCCCAGACTACATCCCAGTAATTTATGTATCAAGAAAATATGATCAAGGAGGGTGGAGTCCATAATACTCGAAATAACAAGATATACTCCTCTGAGCTAGGTTACAGGTTAATAATTTAAACCACCAAACCCCAAATTCTGTTTCATTCATCCGTTTTCCGGTTCAGGATTGTTGGGTGACCTAGAAAGCTCATCGAGAAGTGATGAATCTTATAATATCAAACAGTCCATCAGATACATAAATATGAATCCAAATTCCATTACAAGATCTTATCACTTGACGATAAAAAAATACAGGAAATGAACACGGTGAAAAAAATAAATGAATAACAGTGACATCAGAAAGACATATCCCAAACATCAATATCTCAGATTCTAAGAACCAAAAACTTATTCAGCCGCCTAATCTCGCAAAAAATTCCACCTAAATAACACCGATCACCTTAACAGACTATTCCAAAACGACGAGAGCTAAACATCAAGCTCGTCTCCTCATCTTCTTTCTAAAATTAACTTCATTAACCTAGCAAACAAAAACCTATACACAAAGATATCCCTTTCTTTATTTATTTTTTTTCCACATATATGTAGGAAACAAGAAAACGACGAATGAAAATCAAACGGAATCTAAGTAGCCAGCGCGTATATGGAAACTCCTGAATAGCCTGTTTCACAGTCAAAAAAACCTTTCCGAAAAAGAATCCGTTACCAAAAACGAAGCGATCTCAGTTATTTTACCTTTATTGAATTATTATAAAGTGTAGTACATATTAAGTAATAGGAAATTGAAGGGATTAAAACAATTAATGAAGTATAAAAGAGAAAAATATTGGCATCGGAGAGGAAGGAACCTGGAATCGAGAAAGCGAGGTGGAGGCGGCGTTTGATTGTTCCATAGGATGAAATATATATATATATTTATTGTGTTTGAAAGTTGTATTATAATATTTTATATTAATTTTCATCTCTTCTCATATATTATTCCCAATGGTTTTATAAGTTAAGTTTTGTTTCATTCATGGACATTGTTTTTATAAAAAAAAAAAAAAAAAATTGAGAACATGCTTTCAAAATTGACACAAGTATAAAGCAATACTTATATTACAATTCATTTTTCTTTTTCTATAAAAGTATAAGCTCATTCAAAATTAGTAGACGTAGGCAAAATGAAAGGAAGAGAATTGGATGCATGGTTTATTGGGTAGTAAAATATACAAATCTAAAGAATTAACTGACAAAAATTTTAAAAGTTAAGTGGTTTTCAATGTCTAATTTAATTTCTTTCTTATGTCAATTACAATGATTAACATGTCAGCTAATTATTATTATATTACATTAAAAATCAATATTTTACGTCAATAATTAATTAATAATGTTAAATGGTCAGTAAATAATAAATAATATTAAATTTTAAAAATTAAATTACAACATGTGTAATTTTGCAATATTGAAAAAAAATAAAATTAAGCTGAAAAATTATTAAACCCCAAACTCATAACATAATCAAAGGCCTGTAGTAATTAAAATGAAAAATATGACTAATAATTGTAAGAGTAAATAAGAATGGTCTAAGATGGTTGATGTAAGTTCATGACAGAGAATGTCTATGTTGAGTGCTGCCGGCTCCGATGAAAATTTAATCATTAAAAATAATAAAAATTAATTTTCAAATATTAATTTATTATATAATAAAATAAAATGGATGGATAAGATTCATTTAGTTATACCAATAACTGTAGTCTATAGAGCATCAAAATCTCTATCTGTATTGACATATATAAGCTTCAATTTTTATGTTATAATTATAATTATAATTCTGTGTTAACAGGTGTATATATAGGTTGATAGATCATCTATTATTATCATCTAGATTCTAGACAAGTGTAGGCCACACCTTGAAACCAAAGTTGAGAAAGATGTCCGTACAAGTTTGGCTCTTTATCTTTCATTTAATTTCTCAGAAGAGTTTAGGTCACAATTTTTGTAACAACTTTTTTTGGACTAGCCTCTGTTGCACGTACCTGTCACCGAGCAAAAAGATTGCTCCACATAACTTTCATTTGGCCCACATATCCATGGATCCTTATTAGTTTTTTGACAGAGTCTTTCTGTCCTCAGATCTTTTCGGGTGAAAGGACGCAAATGCATACAATGCTGCTCAAGTTTCTTTTCGTATATGATAAGTACATAAATTCTGGTGAAGATCCATCTAACGTAAAACGGAAATTTTATTTTTATTCTCCATATGTATTTCTTTTTCAAAATTAATTCTGTTCGAAGCAATGTTATTAGGAACTAAATGTGGTATGGATAATTTTCTTAGCGATAATTTGAACTATAGTTTGATATTACGTTACATGTATCTCTTCACTTCAGTTAATAGGAACATAGAAACATACTGCTGCCTTAAAAAAATGCACCAGCTAGCATTCCTCTGAAATTTTGTATTCTCTTTTTGTTAAATTATGATGCAAATTCTAGAAGAAAAAAAAAGAAAATTCTAAATGTTAGTATAAGGGAATAGTTGGAGGAATAATAGAAACTTATTTATATTTAGAGAGTAGTAGTAGTTGTGGTAATTGTTGTTGTTGTTGTTACAATGAAGTCCCAATTTGCTTATTTATAGGCATGGTGCTCCATCTCTAGATGATAGTGGAATTATCTAGAATTTTCTAAACTCTACAAGTCTCTACACTCTTTTAGTTTTTTCTAGAAACTTATACATCTTATCTTTATGTTTCTAGATTTTTCTTTTCCTTTTCTAGAATTTGCATCATAATTTAACACTCCTCCTTGATGCAAATTTCGATAACTCCAAGCATAGTCCGTAGTTGTTCAAACTTTGCCCTTGGTAGTGCCTTTGTAAATATTTCTGCAACTTGATCTTCTGGTGAGCAGTATTCAAGTTGAATTTGCTTAGTTGTCTCTACTTCTCTGATGAAGTGATATTTGATGGCTATGTGTTTCGTTCTTTGATGATAAATTGGATTCTTTGCCATTGATATTGTTGATCTTTTGTCACAATATATAATATTCGGTCCATCTTGTTGTTCACTCATTTCTTCTAGTATTCTTCGTAGCCATATTGCTTGACTTGTAGTTTCAGTAGCTACTATATACTCTGCTTCTGCTGTTGATTGTGCAACTGTTGCTTGCTTCTTTGACGCCCAAGAAAAAAATCCAGATCCTAGTGAGAAGGCATATCCTAATGTACTCTTCATGTCATCTATTGATCCTGCCCAATCACTGTCAATATAGCCAATCATCCTTGATTTTGTCATGGTTTTATACCATATATCAAACTCCCTTGTACCTTGTAGATATCTCAATATTCTTTTTCCTGTTCCATAGTGAATTTGACTTGGCTTTTGCATGAATCTTGATAGAAGACTTGTAGCGAACATGATGTCTGGTCGTGTAGCTGTCAAATAAAGTAAACTTCCAACTAGACTCTTATATCGAGATGCATCAGCTTCTGCTGCTCCATCCACCTTTTGTAGTTTCTCATTCGTCACTAGCGGTGTACTTACAGGTTTGCATCCGTACATATTAAATTTCTTTAGTAAAGCTTCTGTATATTTCTTTTGTGAGATGAATATTCCATCATTTCTCTTATTTACCTTATACCAAGGAAGTAACTCATCAAGCCAAGATCAGTCATCTCAAAGGTCTTCATCATGTCTTCTTTAAACTCCATCATCATATTTGTATTGGTTCCGGTATAAATAAGATCATCTACATACAAAGAGAGTAAGAGAGTATGCTGACCTTGAGTCTTGATGTATAGTGTAGGCTCACTCTTACTCCTCCTGAATCCATGATCAGTGAAGTACTGGTCGATCTTGCTATACCATGCTCGAGGAGCTTGCTTTAGGCCATATAAAGCTTTCTTCAGTCTCAACACTTTGCCTTCATGGCCTTTCATCACAAATCCTGGTGGTTGCTCCACATAGATCTCTTCTTCGAGTATGCCATTGAGGAATGCAGACTTGACATCCAGTTGATAGATGTTCCATCCTTTATGTGCTGCAAGAGCTATTAAAGCTCTTATTGTGTCTAGGATTGTGACTGGAGCAAATGTCTCATTGTAGTCTACTCCTGGTTGTTGTGAGTAGCCCTTAGCGACCAATCTTGCTTTGTGCTTTTGTATAGTTCCATTAGGATTAAGTTTTGTTTTATATACCCATTTTACTCCAATGATATCTTTTCCATGAGGGAAATCTACGAGCTCCCATGTATTATTCTTCTCAATCATTTTAATCTCTTCTTCCATAGTCTTGACCTATACTTCTTGGTTTGCTGCCTCTTCAAAGCTTCGTGGTTCAAGTATGGCCAAGTTGCAGGTTTCATATATATCTACTAGTGATCTAACTCGTCTTGGAGTAGACTCAGGTGATGATTCTTCTTGTTGTGGAACTATTCTTGGAGATTCTGGAGAGATAACAATGTCTTGATTGTTTTCTTCCAGACTTGGTGTAGTTGGTTGATTGATGGGCATGTATATAGTCTTCTTCTCAATTCGTTCTTCTTCCTAGTTCCAAGTAGCATTTTCATCTACTTCAATATCTCTACTGATTGTTAGCCTTTTTGTCTGAAGATTGTAGACTCGGTAGCCTTTTGATTGTGAGTTGTATCCCAAGAATATGCCTCGTACGGTCTTGTCTTCTAACTTATGCCTTTTTTCATCTGGCACATGAATGTAGCAGATAGATCCAAAGACCCTTAGGTGCTTAGCTGATGGCTTCTTCTCGCTCCAAGCTTCTATTGGAGTCTTGTCCCGAACTGCCTTAGTAGGACATCTGTTGAGTAGGTAGACTGCAGTGTAGACTGCTTCAGCCCGGAATGTATTTGGCAGTCCTTTCTCTTTCAACATCGATCTCGCCATCTCCATGATTGTGCGATTCTTCCTCTTCGAAACACCATTTTGTTGTGGAGTATATGCGACTGTAAGTTGTTGCTCTATGCCTTCATCTTCGCAAAATTTGTCAAACTCACAAGATGTATACTCCTTGCCACGATCACTTCTAAGTACTTTTATTTGTTTTCCACTTTACTTTTCGACAAGGGCCTTGAATTTCTTAAATATTTCAAAGACTTTTGACTTTGTCTTTAGAAAATAGACCCACGTCATTCTAGAAAAGTCATCAATGAAGAGGATGAAATACCTGTTGTTGGTGTGTGATGATGTCCTCATTGGTCCACAAACATCTGTATGAATTAGCTCCAACAAGTCCTTGGCTCTCCATGCTTTGCTTGTCGAGAACGACAATCGGTGTTGCTTTCCGAGAAGGCATCCTTCACAAGCTTCATTATTTTCCTTTAGGTTGGGTAGATCCCTCATCATACTTTTCTGATGTAAAAGCTTTAAGGCATGAATATTGAAATGGCCAAATCTCCGATGCCAGAGCCATGAGTCATCAACTTCTACCTTCATGGCAAGATTAGTGCCATAGTTGAAGCTTAAAGGAAAGTTTCTATTTCTCTTTTCCATTTTTACTTGGCCAATCTCTACCCTTTTACTATCATAAATTTTGCATATATCTCTTTCAAAGTGAAGAGAATACCCATTTTCCATCATTTGGCCAATGCTTAAAAGATTTTCTTTAAGATTTGGAACTTGTAACACGTCTTTGATGAGTCTCGTACCTTTCTTTGTCTCCACCATGACCATGCCTTTGCCTTAAGACTCCATCATGGTGCCATTTCCCAGTCGAACTTTGACTTTGACGGAGCTATCAATGTCTACAAAGATGCTTTGGTCCTTGGCCATGTGATTGCTGCATCCACTATCCAAGTACCAGCTTCCATCTCCGTTGTCACAAGATTCTTGTTTAGCATAGGACAGACGTTGCTCTTGATTATGCTCTTCGACAAAATTTGCTTGGTGTTTATTTTTGTTACGGCAGTACTTTTCCATGTGACCCGGTTTATTGCAATAGTGACATATTGGCTTTCCATGATGCCAAAAATATTTTTTTGCATGTCCTGGCTTATTGCAAATACCACATGAAAGGTATTTATCTTTTTTGTTTCCAGAGAAATTTCTAGAATCTTTGTTTCTAGAATATTCTCCAGCATTTTTCTTTCCTCCATCTTCTCTATTTTTAGACTGTAATTTAAGCTTTAATTGAAATGCATTTTCAACTGAATTTGTATCGACACAGCTATTTAATCTTGCTTCGTGCGCTCCGAGGAGACCAATTAATTTATTCACCGATAGAGAAGATGGATCCGAGGAAGTTTCTATGGAAGCCACAATGGAATCATATTTTTCTGTGAGAGTGATAAGAATTTTTTCTACCACTCTCTTCTCCTTAATTTCTTTTCCATATAATTTCATTTTATTAACTATTTCTTTTATTCTTCCATAGTATTCTTCAATGATCTCGGATTCCTTCATTTTAATGGTCTCAAATTCTCTTCTTAGATAGTGTAGCTTGATGGAGCGTACTTGTTCATTGCCTTCAAATTCTTCTTCCAAAATATCCCATGCCTTTTTTGCAGTATCGACATCCATGATCCTTCTAGCGATAGTTTCTCCCGCAGCTTGTTGAAGAACAAACAGTGCTTGTGCATCCTTTTGGTCACAATCTTCTAACTTCTTCTGCTCCTCCTTAGACAGAGTGATAGTATTATTTGGTTTTATATAACCAGATTGAACGATATCCCACAGTTTCTGTGAGATAAAGTATGTCTTTAGTTTGAGCTTCCAAAGATCAAAATTTTCACCAGTAAAACTGGTAAAGGGACCATAGATCAAAGAAAAATGTTTATAAGTATAGAAGGGAATTTTAGAAGTAGTTGGGTGATTTTTCTACACCCAGTAGATGACCAAACGTAGCTCTGGTACCACTGTTAGTATATGATAGTTGTCAAGGGAATAGTTGGAAGAATAATAGAAACTTATTTGTATTTAGAGAGTAGTAGTAGTTGTGGTAATTGTTGTTGTTGTTGTTACAATAAAGTCTCAATTTGCTTATTTATAGGCATGGTGCTCCATCTCTAGATGATAGTGTAATTATTTAGAATTTTCTAAACTCTACAAGTCTCTACACTCTTTTAGTTTTTTCTAGAGACTTATATATCTTATCTTTATGTTTCTAGATTTTTCTTCTTCTTTCTTATACAAATTATTTTATGTTTCTAGAATTTTTCTTTTCCTTTTCTAGAATTTACATCATAATTTAACACTAGAAATATAAGATAAGATAAGATGTATAAGGAAAAAAAAAAGAAAATTCTAGAAACATAAGATAAAATAAATAAGTCTCTAAAAAAAACTAAAAGAGTGTAGAGACTTGAAGAGTCTAGAAAATTCTAGATATTTCTACCATCATCTAGAGATGGAACACTATGCCTGTAAATAAGCAAATTAGAATTTCATTGAAACAATAACAATTGCCACCACTACTACTACTCTCTAAATACAAATAAATTTCTATTATTCCACCTATTATTATATACTAACACTCTTTTAAATTTATTTAAAAGTTAAAACAATAAAACACGAGAGTACTAGATTCCTCTAAATCCAAATAAATTACTATTATACAACCTATTATTATATCCTAACACTCTTTTAAATTTATTTAAAAGTTAAAACAATAAAACACGAGAGTACTAGATTCCTCGGTGCAAACTATGGGACCGAGGATTGATATAGGGTTGACATTAAGAGCAACTCATAACATTTCATCAAAAGTACTGTTTCTTTTCTGTTCAGCAGGTTTTTCTATTTTTATTAACAGATCGTAATGTGCTTGTGAGTAAACACACATGTGTATTTTATCCTAACATTTTATCTTATTTTTTCAAATAAATCATTTAGAAAAAGAATAGATCAAGACTAAAGCACCATCATAATAATTTACATGTATGAGAATTTTATATTTGTGTAAACATCATTTTTTGAATTATACCAGCTCCTACCAGTTGCTCCACGTCTTGATTGTATATTCTCATTCGCTTTTATTTTGAAAATCCAACAAAGTAATATCATGTCGATTTTAAAACTGTTGCCTGTAGTGCTGTTAAGACCAACAAATTTTGCAATAGATTTGTATTTGTATTTTTTATTTACAATTTGTATTATTATGTATGTATAGCCAATAACTTAAACATAATTTATTTTATTTCGTTCTAATACTTTACATCACATATCAGATAATAATCGAATGAAAAATTATTCACTAACAAAATTATGTTTAACAAATATTTCATTATTCCGGAATTGAATTGTTTGCAGTTTTATAAAAGATGTAGAAAATCAGAATTAATTTATTACAAAATTCAGCCAATTAAAATGTATTTACTGCGCTATGCACTGCACCTGTTTATTTTTCAATCCTCGAATGGTTTTTTTTTTTTTTTCTCTCCATACAATGGTGGTGGACAGTATTGATGTGCAGTGGTCACAATAGTGACAACACTGATTGCAAGGTGGTGGTAGGAAGAGATAATTTTATTATTTCAAGAAAAGACATGACGTATATATTGACGTGAGCAACCAAATTTTGAAGAAATTATCGCTCCCATTTTATTTCAATTTGTCCACCTAAATTCTCACTCCCTTCACTAGAACATCTTCATTTTAATTAGAAAAGAATAACCTATTTTGGAGTTCTGTAAATACGCGGTCAGTGTGTAAAAAAATTAATTTAATTATATCTGATGAACAGAAACATCCTTATTTGTCATAGATTCTACGACACGAAGCAAATCTGAACTCTTTCGTCCTTAAAAACCTGTACACATTTTTACTTTTAAGTTTTAGGTACTTTACTTTAATTTGTTGCTCAATCAGGGGCGAGGAATGATTCAAGCGAAGCAAAACATATGTGAAGAAACTGGGAGAACAATTTCAGAACCCCAGTGCCGATGAATCTCTAACTTTGCAAAATTGGAACAAAAATAAACGTAAAGACAAAAAACAAATTGAAACAATCCATGCTTTATATTCACAAAATTGAGCATCTTCAGTCGAAAGAGAACTACCTGCTGCAAGAGTTGATAGGAATTAGGAAGCAAAGAACACGAGCTTATTACATGACTATTGTCTAGAAATTGCAGCTAATTTAAAACCCTCTAAACTAAAACACTGCAACCACTTACAAACAAGATTTGAAAGGGGAAAACTTGGAAAGAAAAAGAAAAAAAAATGGTATGTACAGCCTCACGCGTCAACATAGTTTGCAGGATCCAGAGGTATAACAGTATCTGGAAAATCTGTTCTTGGGCCAGCAAGGGAGTAATATGCAAGAATATGAGCTGGATGCTCAACAACTACAGGCTCTTCCTGCTACTAGACCGG